TAAACAAACATAAAAATTAAACATAGTGTATCGAGAAATCCCGGACGTAAACCGAAAAAGCCCGACTGCTATGCTGGCGATCAAATTTTCACTCCTATTTGTTTAATTTTTGGGGGAACCCGGGAGATGGAGGGGGGGATAACGTTAAACGAGGTTTCAACTTCAAGCGGCCTAATTAGGTTTTTGCATGATTAGTTTAGTTCTTCGTTTTTTTAAAAAATTTTTATTGGAGAAAGTCTTCATAACGTAAACGTTTAAATTGTCCTTTTATTAATTTGAAAGTGTCGCACGGATTGCTATTTCAGAACCGTGCAATAATGTAGTTATTATATGGGATTGCATAAAATAACTAAATTTGCAAGGGCCAATTCGTTTAACCCGTACAAATTTAGTTATTTTTATACAACCCATACAAGAATTATAATCTACAAAGTAGATTACTGGTGAATAGTATTATCTACTAAACTGTCGGTAAACAGATTATCTATGAGATATACTGTTGGTGAATAGTATTGTCTACAAAGTATATTGTCGGTGAATAGTATTTATTATCTGTGAAGTATACTATCGGTGAATAGTGTTGTCTACAAAGTACTGTATATTGTCGGTGAATAGTATTATCTATGAAGTATATTATCAATGAACTATACTGTAGCTAAAATAAGCTTGAATGAATCGTGTCGGCGAAAATAAACCGTAGGAAAATCAACTGTAGTTAAAATAAATTGTAGTAAAATAAATTTGTCGGCGAAGTATTTGTCTATGAAATGAGCTTGTAGGTAAATTAAATGTCTGTAAAGTGGGATGTATGCGAAGTGATTGTCGGTGGAGTGATATGGAACCTCAAAGGGCCAGTGCGAAAGGTGTGATCCTTCTGATCAAAGGAAGTTAGCTTGCATCTGCTAACACTTTACTTTCTTTGTGAACGAAGACAATTCCGATTGAGGGTCAAAAAGTTAATTGAAAGTGTATCCGCTAATGCCTTTTCTCTTTTAATTCAAAATTATCAACATGTGTTTTCAACTAAGATCCAAATAAGTTAACGTGATGTTTTGAAAAATGTATCTGCTACAAATCTTTCTTATGATCCAGGATAATTCAAACTGGGAATCCAGTATACAGAGAAACTAATATGAAAGTGCATCTGCTAATGTGCTTTTCCCTTTTTGATCCAAAGAAATTCCAAAAACCCGAAATTCAAAGTTAGTGCCTTTTCTCCTTTTGATCCAAGACAATTCGAACAAAGATCAAAAAAAAAAGTTATTTTTTTGCGAAGTTCATCAGTTATTGCTTCTCCTCAACGTAGCCTAAGACATAAGAAACAGTTACAGTATCAGAATAAATGGTTGTCGCACAATTCCCCGAAAGTTATTTACATTTCCCCGACACCGTAAAGCCGACATGCTATTTCATCTACAGCACATTGTTTCAATAAAATATTATACATTTTCGACAATCCTTTTCTTAGAACATTTTCCCGGAATCATTTCCTCGATATAAAATTGGCTCGATTTAGCTTTAGGGTTAGTTTATTTAGAGTTTAGGTTTTGTGTTGGTTAGAACTATATGTCGAAGAAATAATAGTCAAGGAAATGTCTTATCCAAGTAATGTCAATTATATGTCATATCGAAAACATGTGCTGTAGATGAAATAGCATGTCGGCATTACGGTGTCGGGGAAATGAGTTGGCGGGGTAAATAACTTTCGGGGAATCGTGCCGTAACCGAATAAATGCAGTACTGTAAACGAAAAATTAGAAAACGAAAGAAGAAAAATAGTTGTTCAATATGATAATATGCGACATCACAACATTATGAAAATATTGCGTTACAGGATGACACTATAATATGATTTACGGCAATATGGTTTTACAGCTTTATAATTATAGTATATGCTATAGTGTGTAATTCTTTAATTACATTAATAACTATATACGCATGCATATATGAGGTCAATAACAGGTAGTACGTAAATAAATACTATAAACGATTAAACTGTACGTTACGCGGCTATTTTATTTTAAACATATAAATAAGTTACCCGGGCAACCAGCCAATCAGGCTGTGTCACAATGCGTTGGTGTCGATCAAATTTTTACAAAATTTTACGAAAATATGTATTAAATAGTGTCCTAAAATATTGATCTCGGACCTGACCAGAGACAAAAAAAACCAAACAAACAAAATATTATATTAATCTCGCCCATTGTTTAGAAACAAAATGACTCGTGCGGAGAAAGATCCTAAAATAACTCGTGCGGAGAAAGATCCTAAAATAACGAAGCAAAGAAATGGAGTTAAAAATTATATTAATTTCATAGAAAATTCGCACCCTGGGAAACAAGCCTTTCCTGTTACAAGAGATTACTTAAATGAATATTTTACTTACAAAATTGACGTATGCAAAACGAAGACCAAAACCTTGACTCTTTATTTAGCGAATATTAAAGCTCATAATAAAGCTCTTGGATTTGGATGGAAGCACAGTATTTTTAATGCAATTGAAGAAAAAATCAAAATTCAAAATAAAATAGGTAAAAATATAATTGTATTAATGAAGCATTGATAAATATTTTTGCCACATTTATTAATATATATCACGGTAATTTAGCTTCACCTTCTACGTTAAACGCTTCATTTTATGAATTTGACCCTCAGTTATCGCAACAAGTATCTATCTTACCTATCTCTGATATTGCGGACACTTCGCAGCTTGAACAATCTTATGATTCGGGTTTCACTGATGTTCTCCATCCTAGTTTTTTCATTATTTCTCCCCAAAATGACATATGTTCTTTCAATAATGTGCAAACCACGTTACTGAATAATAATTCTTATGATCAGAGTTTTTTTGGTACTCATTTCCCACAGGTGTGCCATCAATTTGATGCGCAAAATAATGCGTAAGTAATGACTTTGCTAGTCCTCATTTGTAAAATTTGTAAAATTAATGCCAATATCTAAATTTTTAGAGATTTCTTTAGCTCGCAGTGTTTCTATTGAAAATAATAAACAAAACACTTATCACATTCAATAAAAGGCCTTCTAGTGTCTCGACAAAATAACAAGAAAAACAAAACAGTTATGCTAAGTGCAAATATTCAGATGTTTTGTGGATTTGTCATTGAATGTGATTGAAACGTGGGTTTGTGATTTTTAAGAATGAATTCTGGAAGCAAATTTTCAAAAAAAACAAACAAGCCTTTTTAATTTACTTTTAGCATATAATTAAATAATAGATATCATAACCTTCCACGCATACAAAGTTAAAAAGCCGTTCTCAACAAATCCATTTTTTATTACTAAAATATTATGACAGGGTGAAACCCGCGCAGAAATCGTTATGTTATTAATGACCCCTAATTAGGTATAGATCTGCATCATGAAAGTATTACCTCTGCGCGGATTTCACCCTTTCATAAAATATGTATTATTTTCTTTTACAAAATATGTACCAAGCTGGATGTAAAGTTATAAAAACTAGTAAGCTAATGTTCATGTTAGTAAAGTAAAATTACAATCCATTAAAAATTTGCTTATATAAAATGAAACTGCTTTAATACATTCTTGTCTAAACAATTAACGAAAAAATTAACAATTTATTTATAAGGTAGCTGCGCAGCACGTGGTGCCGCGCAGGACCAGTACGATCATTAACTAGAAATTACATATGTAGGCTGAAATTAGTTGTTCCAAGTAAATAGAACCTGTTATTTGGACGTGGAGGATTTGGCCGATGATTTAATTCAAGTGTAACATAATCAGGAATAGCATAAGAAAAGTTGTCTATTTGAAAATTGTTTATATCAAAGATTTATATGACAACTAACTTTGTAATTTAAAAAAAAAAATTTGTTTTGCAAAATTTTTCAATCTTTTCATAATTTATAATAGTCTTAATGTTATTGTAAATTTAATGAATAATAAGAGGCGTATTGATTTTGAACGTTGGGGGTTTTTTTTTGTTGAAGTAGGTTCAATTTATTTGTGAAAATTTAAACTGTAACTAGATGGCAAATATCAACAAAATACTAAAAACGGAGTGTATGACCTGTTTTATGGGAAGATTGTATGTGGGTGGAGAGTTTTGCATTTTGTTAGTCAGCGTGTTATATCGGTGCGAGTATTTACATGTTTATATTAGTTTTGAAAATTGGTTATTATATTAGTGTTAATTAAAAATCATGATTGCTTGCAATATTTTGTCTATTAAATTATCGTATATTTTCATTTTTGACTTTAACATGATTGTAGATTCATTAAAAAAACGTGGAGAAGTTTACTGTAAAATGAAAAAATGTGATGATTCACTTGTGGATTTAACCAAATTGTTGGACATCAATCACAAAAATATGGATGCATTGAAAAAACGAGGAAAAGTTTATCTATTAATGAAAAGGCATAGAGATCACTTTCAGACAGAGACTATTAGTTATCTGTTGAACCAAACGATATAATGTCGTTAGTATTGCATGGTGAAATTTACCGTGAAATAAATGAACTTGATGAATCGCTCAAAGATTTGAACAAAGCATTAGACATCAAGGCAGATGATGCAAATGCATTGAGACAGCGTGGAATAACGCATTGAATGATTGGAGAAAATAATGAATCAATGAAGGATTTCGAATATCAAGAATCACTTGATGATTTAAACAAGACGCTAAAACTTGAACTTCATGATGCATATACATTGGGACAACGTGTGACTACTTAATTGCAGGTCTTAATCTGGAAACTTATTTCTACATCAGATTTTATATTAAAAAATGCTTAATATATATTTAATATTAGAATTTAATATTATAATAGTATTATAAAAAATTTAATACTAAAAAAATATTAAAATTTAATATATTTAGAGAATTGTTATTGCCACCCCCATTTTTGTTAATGCCACCCTCTACATAACCTAATTAACCTTTAACCTTTCTGGAAACTCTATAAACAATGCTTACCCTAACTGCTAACTAGTTAATTACATGAATTCATACTATTTCTAAATACTATTTGTAGAATTTTTAAAATTTTAAACCGGTTAGGGTTATATAGGGTGGCATTAACAAAAATAGAGGGTGGCATTAACAATTCTCTATATTTATAATATAAAAATTTTGTAATATTAATTTTATAATAAAATTTAATATTAATTTTATACTAATCTAAATATAATATTAATTTATTAATATAATTTAATATATAAATATCATAAAAATTAATTAATAATAATTTAATAATATTTTTTATTATTAAGTTATTATTAATATAATTTAAATATTAATTTTATATTAAAATTTAATATAGATTTTATATTAGATAAAATATAATATTAAGTTATTAATATAATTTAATATATAAATATTATAAAAATTAAATAAAATTAATTTAATATTAATTTTTAATATTAAATTTTTAGCAATATAATTTAATATAAATTTTATATTAAAATTTAATATAAATTTTATAATAAATAAAGTATAAAATTAATTTATTAATATAATTTAATATATAAATATTATAAAAATTAATTAATAACAATTTAATATTAAGTTTTAATATTAAATTTTTATTAATATAATTTAGATATAAATTTTATATTAAAATTTAATATTAATTTATATAATTTTAAAAATAATATTGATTTATTAATTATTAATATAAAATATTATTTTATACTTATATAGTATATTAAAATTTAGCTTTATAATAATTTAAATATAACATTAATTTATTAATATAATTTAATATAAAAATATAAAGAATTAATCAATTTGTAACTATAGATTACTGTAATCATAACTAAGATTAGGTATAATATAACTATCAAAATAAATTTTTTTATAAAAATAAAACTTTACAGTTAAGGTCAAAGTTAGAGTTAGAATAAGGTTTGAATTAGAAAAAGTATAGTTTATATCAAAATTTAGCAAGAAATTTTTTTGTTAAAATGTAAAGATAGTTTTATAGTTAAAATTTTGAGTTATTGATGATTTTTTTAAAATAAAAGTTTTTGTTTTGATTTCATATTACATCTGATTTTAGTAACTATTACAGTAACCATAGTTACAAATTTATTAACTTAAATATAAAATTTACTAAAATATATATTTTATTTTAAAAATAATTAATTAGTATAAAATATTTTAGATATTTTATAAAATAGGTAAGCAAACACTACAAACTCTGCAACTCCAATATTAAAAAATTAATAATTACTAATCATTAGTAAAGCTTATTTCTTATATTATCTATCTATTCTATAGAATATCTAATATTTTAAATAAAATATTTTATATTTTTAAATTTTTTAAAAATTTTAATTTAATAATAAATATTAGAAAATTTCTATTAGTATATAAAGTATGTATATACAGATAATATAATATCTTAAAATTTTAATTATAAAATTATCTTTTAGTTTTAATAAAATTTTTTTTTTAAAATTTTAGTATAAGCTATAATTTGTCTAATTTTAAACTTTACTTTAATTATAAGTAAGAGTATTCTTTAAATTGTAACACAGGCAAATTTGCTTGCATTCATTTTTTTAAACTCTAATTTTTTAATAAAAT